CCAGAAGCCCCTACGGCTTGGAAAGCCTGCAGCTGAACTCAAAAACAAAGGATCAAAAGTTCAAAGCATAAAAGGTAGCGCCTGCATTTCCCCAGAGCTCCCTGCTCTGGTTTCTAATCAGTACACCCCAGCTCCTCTCCCTTCACTTTGCAAGTAACCAACGTTATTTAAAGGTGTTGAGCCTAAATAGCTATGCTCCTCTTAATTTAATCCTGGCCAATAATGTTATTTGATTAGTCAATAAGGGCACGTCTGCCTTTGAAGCATATCAACAACCTCAGGGCTGTTGCTACACTCCAAAAGTGAAAGCACTGCAGGGAGCATGGGGCCAGAGGGGGACTCAAGCAGCCCCCACTAGCTCCATGCTCCCCACAGCGTTTCAAACTGGCAGCACCACACAGAGCCCAGGCTCTACAGGGCACAGCCTCTTTGAAACGGCATGTGCAGCCCGGGCCAGCTGGGAGTTCCCAGAGGGCCCAGACTGCACATGGCATTTCAAAGCTGCAGCGCCGCTTACAGCCTGGGGTCTGCCCTAGCCTCTGTCCCCGAGCTCCACGCAGCACCACTGCTTTGAAGCACCCCCTTTTTTCCTTTTCCCCTTGCTGCCTTTTTCTAATAAAGGCAGTAAGGGAGGAGTGGGGGAGCGACTAGCTGTTCACATCCTACTCTAAACCACAGTGAGAAATTAAACCATAAACGCTCAGGTCACTCGCTTACTCCTAAAAGCACACCTGAACTAGGGTCCGTCGCAGCTTTAACAGCAAAGCTTTTTTGTTAAGAACATATGAAAATTCATTTTCACTCTACACCATACCTGATTCCATTCATTTATAGTAAATGGAAGTACATGTTCTCTATACAGGCAAGGAACAGACTGAAACATGAAAAGCAGATGCCACTTAAAGAAATTAAATAACTATTCATTTTACTGTATTTAAAGTGAAAATACTCAAATACATTGAAAAGAAATACCTTGCTGTGTCTCTCAATCAACATGCATACCTGTAGCACACAAAAAGCAGTTTCTCTTCTTTTTGCCTGCTTTGCACACATTCACAATGCTCAATAAACGTTCGTCATTCGGAGTGAAAATATCTCTCTGTAAGGCATGCTTGATTGCAGTCATTTTTGCCCAGCTGAAAAGCAGGAATAATAATAAAAAAAAGCATTCTAAGTATAGTATGATGTTCGAGCACATTTATGAATTGGTTTAATATACAAGGAATTGTTATTTTCCTGATAGATGACAACCTCTTGAAGAACCAGTTACTATGTGGATCACCTCTGTGTGTAAGAGCCTCATGCACCCATCAGAATCTTTGAACAGTGCTACACATTGGGCCTTGTCTGTGGCTATGCATGTCTTTGTGCTCCCACCTACCCAAGGGCATAAAGGAAGGGCTGCCTCAATCAACCCTCAGTTCCTATACTAATTCAGAATCTCAAGTAAAGGGGATGCTGAAAAAATGGGGATGGAGGGGACTCATTAGATCCATCTGGATGAAGAGATCTCATAGAACTGTAGTGATATACCATCTCATAGAGCTGGAAGGGATCTTGAAAGGTCATTGAATCCAGTCCCCTGCCCTCACAGCAGGACCAAGTACTATCCCTGACAGATTTGCCCCAGATCCCTAAATGGCCCCCTCAAGGGCTGAACTCACAATGCTGGGTTTAGCAGGCCAATGCTCAAACCACTGAGCTATCCCTCCCCTTACCTTATAAAAGGTGAGTAACTGTTTTATCTTCTTTGTCTTGAAAGTAACAAAGAGTGCCACTTTTGAAAGGTGGGGTTGAAGATTCCTAACTACTACTAAATAGTGACTGTAATATGCCCCTACACATTTGCCATTTGATCTTATAGCCTCTGCAATTTTTGCTGCAGTTCACTGTAAGTACTATGAACCTAACACAGCTAAATGAGACAATGCAGCATTGCAACTTCAACAATGTTATCCCTCTTTGCATCCCTCCACTAGCTCCCCCTCCTTTAGGATATCAAACATTAAACTGCTCATTTTCACTTTCAAGTACTTTCATAGACAATCCGCACCTTGCTTGTCTTTCATTGGCTACTGATCATCACCTCCAATTGGCCCATGAGGTCAGCCTTCATAATTCACTTGTTAGTTTTCAAATAAGCACTTTTGTGCTCTCTCATACTCTCACTTGTACTTGAGAAGAGCTCACCATAAACATTCAAAAAGCTATCCACTTATCTTCCTTCATATCCCTCCTTAATACTTTCTCTCGCTGTGATGCTCCCACCCCTCAAAAAAAGCAAACCATCACCCTTGATGATAGGGGGGCTCATATGCTGTGACCACTGTTTACGACCAATATTGTCTCTGTCTCCTTGTACTCCATCTGTTTGAATCCATATGTTGTCTCATGTCTTGTCTTTAGAGTACAAGCTCCTTTGGCCAAGAATTATCTTTCAGTACTGTGTTTGTGTAGCACCTAGCACAATGCAGTCTTCACCCATGACCCTGGCTCAAAGGCAGATAAAGTAATAAAAGAGTAATACGAATAATCTGCAATACCATTCATTTCTCTCTAATTGCACACACTGTAGCAATCAGTACCTGCTTCTCTTCCATAATCATCTTACCTAAATATTCTTAGAAGCTGTCTCCTTCTCTATTTCAAGATGTACATGAGATTACATAAGTGTCTAGTGAGATGCCGTAGACCAATGTTTCCCAATTTTATTTGGCCACAGAACCCTTTTAAACTTGAAAGAATTTTGCAGAACCCCTAATAAGAGTCTTATATATGGAACTGAAAAAGGAGACCACAAATAAGTAAGGATAATAATAAACAAATGCTAAACAAGGTCATGAGATCACCATTTAGTTTAATTGCAAATATTTAAAAACAAAAATGACAATATTTTCTTGCAGAACCCTTATTTTCACTTTGAACCCCGAGGTTCCACAGAACACCATTGAGGAAACACTGCCATAGGCTGTACTGATATCACAACACAGATTAAACCCAGCAAAACATTTTCCTTAGACGCTACCAAAGCTACCAGAACAATGTGTACATTAGGGATGTTAAAATGTGTTATTTGTATAATTGTGTACTAGCAGAACATTTTAGCAGGTACACTTTTACATGTGGGGAAAGGAGGCGGGAGCCAGTGCCTGCAGAGAGCCCACTTTTAAGCAGACTCCCCATGAGAACCAGCTCCTGGCTGCCCTAACCCATGCTGCTGCTTCTGTGGGAGCCATGAGTGCAGGTGGGTGGGAGGCAGCTCTGTACAGCATGCACAGGGGGCCAACTTAAAAGCTGGCTCCCTGAGTGTATTGGCTCCCACCTGCTGTAAATCAATCTAAGTTACAATTTAAGTTAAGTAAATTATGTAATTTAACTAGTGGCCTCCATACTAGTTAAGTTTAGATCAACTTAACTACAGGTCTCCAGTGTTACCCCTAAATAACATAACTAGAGCAACTTAAGAGTTATCACTGACTAAGTGTTAGTTGTGCTTAGGTCCCCTACATCATACGTATGCTAGTCCTATTTGTCTCTGGTGTCAGTATTATCTGCAATATATGCAGAAGAGATTATACAGATTATAATGAACAGCCCGTTCCAAGCTTTCAACGTATGCCTCGCCACGACAGCTACATATGCTGAACTCCCAGGGTGAATGTCCTGTATCCGGCACGGAGCAGGCAGCAGGACTGGCCCCTGTCCCAGCACAGACCCAGTCCCCCCTCCCGAGACTGCACCTAAACGCCTCCGAGAGCCCGGGCAACACACACTCCGGTCTCTTCGAGAGAGACATTGAACCCACGTCGCGGGCGGTGCGTCGCCACGACAGCTACATATGCTGAACTCCCAGGGTGAATGTCCTGTATCCGGCACGGAGCAGGCAGCAGGACTGGCCCCTGTCCCAGCACAGACCCAGTCCCCCCTCCCGAGACTGCACCTAAACGCCTCCGAGAGCCCGGGCAACACACACTCCGGTCTCTTCGAGAGAGACATTGAACCCACGTCGCGGGCGGTGCGGGCTTTACCCCATTTGCTTACGCGTTTCCCGCGGGGCGCTCCCAGCCTGGCCCGACGGGACCGCGCCCCTTGGCCCCCGCTCGGTG